AGATCTAACCTGCTGCAGCCCTCCCGGGTTATGCCCGTTCCCTGCCCGCAGAAACCTCTTGCTCTGCAAACTCCTCGGGTATATCCAAAAAAATAAAACACCCGATTGCTGGGAGTCTCCGCTGGTGTTAGATTTACAGTTGGACTCGATCATCGAGAGATCAGGTCTCTCTCCCCAGCTCACAGGGTTGTGGGATGCGTTCACAGACACATTTTCTTGTATTGACACAATTCCCTAAATCCAGGCTTGCAGGAGCCCTTGGAAGAGCCGCGGCCTGATCTGAGATCCAGGAGCCAGCTCCGAGCCTCTCCAAGACACACGCCGAGAGCTCAGAGGCTACACCTTACCTTGCTCACAGCTCTCCTCAGCGCTGCTTTGGGGCAATCCCCACAGTTTCAGTCAATTCAACAAATCTCCTGAACTTCCTTAATCCTTACATCTGCAAACAGTAACAGCCATCCCACCCTCTGCCAGCCACTGGCCCCAGGGACTGAGAGAGAGAAGGGTGCCTTTTTTAAAAAAAGAAAATGTTTAATTTGTTTTTATTTCAACTCAGGATTTACATCCCAGTCTAGCTCAGCCCCCAACAAGTGCTGGTGGGTTTCGGTGGAGGGAGCGCTTTGCTCTGCTTCACAGCGCTGAATCTGCCAAGGAAGTTTGCTCGAGAGCGGAGCGTGATAAAGAGATGGAGGAATTACTGTTGGAGCCAGCCCGGGGGCTCGCTCCGGGGTCAGGAACTGGTCACCGCTCCAGCCACCGAGCCCAGGACAGCCTGGGCTTGCTTTGATGGAACTTTATTGCTTCTGTGCATATGCTGCCCACTTGTCCCTTACCTGGAGGGGTGGGTGGGAAAGGGGAGCTTTTGGACCATTCCTAGAGGGAGAGGGCAGCAAGTGCCTCTCCAAAAATATTCTGCACTCCCAGCGACTGCTGAAATCTCTGTGGCTCCACCTCTGCTGCAGAAGACTGGCAGGTCTTGGAAATTTTAGCCACGAAGAAATAAATACAAGAAGACACAACCTGCTGTCTCCTCCAGACAGGAGGAGTCAGTGCCCAAGGCAAGGAGCAAGAAAGTTCCTGCTCAGCGCCCAGGAAAACAGCAGCGCCTCCAGAAGGCAGCAGCCAAATATCTTTGACATCCCTCCACGGGGAGAAGAGCCCTGGGAACAGGGTCGCTCCGGTAGCCCAACGCTGCCGGCATCAGCTCTCACCGCCTGCGCGGTGCCCACGCTGGCCGCTGCTCTCGGACACCTTCCCTCGCTCGTGTAGCGCAGTTCCGTGCACCAGCCGGCCCGGTTCCTGCAGCTCCCGACACCCCTGCGGAGAACAGGCTCGGGCTGCCCGCTCTGCCTGCCCGGGAGGCTCTGCAGGGTCTCAGCATCCATTTTCAGACACGGCTGCGTCAAGTGTTACAGGTTCATGCTGGATTGCTGCTGCGGCCATGCTGATGGCTTCCTCCAGGCTCTGCCGCTCTTCTAACTAGTGGGGGAAAGGGAGAGAGGTAACACCGTCCTCCCAAAAGGTGGGATCGGGAGGCACGGGCTCGCCCAGGGCAGCCCCCAGCAGGACAGAGGTACGAGGGATCGGCAGTGGGTGACACAGGGAGAAAGCAGCAGGGCAGAGAGAGACACGGCTACGACAGGGAGAGGCTGTTTACAAAGGAGCATTCTGCAATCCAAGGAGCACGTCCCGGCTCTCCTCTATACGCAGGGCATCTGGGAATTGAGGAGCAAGCACCCTGGGCAAGAGGAGATGCAGCGGAGGAAGAGGGTAAGCGCTGAAGCCGGCAGGTGGGGGAACGAAGGGGAAGGCAGCAGGAGCTGTGCGGTACCTGCACTGCGATGTGGGTGCCGCCGGCGGTGGCCAGCAATGCCACCTGCTGATGACCGAGGGATGTGATGGTTGATTCTTCAGACACGACTGCTCCAGAAGTGACTATGGTAACCTAGGAAAAGTTAAGGTAAAAACCAGTCGTGTTTTAAAAGAAAATGCAATTCCCTTCTAGCAGGCTGTTTCTCCGCAGGGAAAAGGGAAGGTCCCGGTTTTGTCTGTACCGGCTGCGTCTCGGTGCCATCCGTGTCAGCCACAGTCACGGCGTGCGTGTCACCAGCCGCCAGCTCTTCCTCGGGCACAGCGAGGGCAGCGCTCTGTGTCACCACGCCGATTGCACTGCCCAGGGCCTGCAGGTCTTCCTGCGACAAACTGACCTGGGTGGGATAACAGCGGATGCTCTCAGCCAGGACGGCTTCTCAGGAAGCCTTACGCAACTGCTGAGTTTAGCAACACAAAGGTCTCGGTAAGTATGAAATATTCTCTCCTCTGCATGCAAGACCTAGGGCGCAGAGAACACCAAGGACTTTGCCCAGGGTTATGGACAGAATCGATGGAGAACTCACAGACCTCGGGGCTTCAGCTCTGCCCCTTCTACCACACCTCCCCTTCCCATTCAGCATCTTCTCTCCAGGCTTTGAAGGGCCAGCCTGTGCCGCACTGCAGCAGGGAGCATCTCAGACCAAGAGGAAACAAGCGTTACTCGTGGCAGCTGTTTCCTTTGCCCCGTGCCACAGAAGGGAGTTTTTCCCAGTCAGCACACAGGCAGCTGGTGGAGGGAAGTACAAGAAAAGCACTGCCCTATACAAATGATGAAAAAACAATCTCCAAATCCAGCCTGTGTCAGCAGAGATTGGGAGCTGCCTCTCAACAGCTGGCCGGGAGGCGAGGGCTGCCAGGCACTGCACGCAAGCCTGGGCGAATGCCTGCAAGACCCCGTCCAGCAAGGCGGCGAGTTGGGGGACCAGAGGCCTGTTCTTTACCCTCCACATCAAGACTGCAGCAGCGGGGTAAGGCTGTAAGGAGGGGCCCTCACGACAGACAGAGCCTGTGAAGCCCCCGGGTCTGTTTTATGCTGAACAAAGCCTTAAAGAGAACACGGAGGCTGGGTAGAGGCAGGATCTCACTCAGTTAACTGCTGTCCCCCACGTGCTGGAGGCTGTCAGTGTCCATACCTGCTCTGTCCCGTCCTGAGAGATAAGCGAGACCTGTGCAGGCATACCATCGTCATCTTCCTCTTCCTCTTCATCTTCCTCCATCTCTGACAGGAAAGCAATATGCTGGCTCTTCAGGGGGGAGCCTCTGTCAGCAGCAGCTGAGCCCGGGAAGGGGAAGAGCAAAAAGAGTGAGAGAAGCACTAATCAGAGTGTGAAAGCACATGCCTGACCCCAGGACCTGCCTGTTGCCTGAAGGGCCAGCACGGAAGAGCACAAAATCATGACGACAACAGCCCAGCGTCAGCCTGGGAAGAAGGGTCTTTAGCTCTCCCTGTACTACAGAACGGGCAGGAGTCCATTCCCAACCCGTGACATACAGCAAGGACCATGGGGAGCCCTTTTCTCTCATCTGTGACACAGATTGGGGTTTGACGGGGGAGGCAGGAGGCCACAGCAGAGACGTGGGTCTAAGACAGGGGAGCGGCTGCAGGCTCTTGCTGTCATCTCTCTCTCCATTGCCACATGGCCTGATCCAAGCCTGCTGCACGTAATGGCAGAGCGGTCGCTCACCTTCCAGCTGCTGCTGTTCGTAGAGGGCCTGTTCGCTCTCCTCCGTGGCCTCCAGCTCGCCGTGGCTGCTGCGCTTGTGCATGGCCAGCGTGGAGGTCTGGCGGTAGGTCTTCCCACAGCTATTGCAGGTGTAGGGCTTGCAGTGCGTGTGGACCACGTGGTGCTTGTAGAGGCTGGAGTACTCCGTGAAGCGCTTTCCACAGCCCGGCACAGTGCACATGTACGGCTTCTCTCCTAGGGCAGAGGCCACAGAGCAGAGTTTAACCCACTCACCCTCCTCATGCTCTGGGAAGGGATTTCCCATCAAGAGGGAATAGCTGGAGACAGACCACTGGAATAGGCAAAACAATAAATCAGCCCAATAAAGCAATTCCTATTTCCTTTAACTTGCCGGCCACTCCCAGATCTACCCCTGGCAACGCCTAGCCTGGAAGTGACCATTTCAGTCCCACAGATTTCCCTGCTGCCACAAGTGGTCAGTGCAGCCAACTGACTGGGGAGGAGCTGTTTGTGTTTCACCCTCTCCTCCTCTTACCTGTGTGGATTCTCATGTGGTTCTTGTAATTGGTGGCACTGGTGAAGCCCCTTCCGCAGTTGGGCTCCGGACACATGTACGGCCGCTCGCCTGTGTGCGTTCGGATGTGAACCTTGCGGATGTTGGATGTGGTAAAAGAGCGGCCGCAGCCCACAAAGGGGCACTTGAAGGGACGCTCACCTGCATTGACAGAGTAATGTGGATGAGAGTCCTGCTACCACGCAGCTACCTGGAATGCCCTGGACACCTGTATCCCTTCACTCCTCCATGGTATTACACCAACGAGACCTCAGATTGGACCTAACTGCTGGCATGTTTCCTCTAGCAACACTGGCATCCCTACCCCTTTTGCTCTGCTGTTTGTAACCAAGCTGAGAATCCCGAGTACTACTTCTACTACCCATCTACTTCTGTCTGAAGACACCTTCATTCTGCATTGCTTCACCCAAGATCCAAAAACACATGTCTTGGACAAAGGCTGAAGCAGTGCTTTATCTTGGAGACCCTTTCAATGGGGAGCTCAGCTCTCCTGTACTGCTCACCTGTGTGTGTCCGGATGTGTTTCTGTAGATCCCCAGAGGTTTTGAAGGCTTTGCTACACACATCTTCTGGACACTTGTATGGTTTCTCACCAGTATGTGTTCTCACGTGGCTCTTCAGCCCATACCCTGTCCCGGAAAGAAACTACAATTAAATTTTACAACAAGAAGGAAATAATATGGCAAGCTGTGTATCACCTCTCAGTTCATGCATTTTTGAATGTCTGTCCTATGTCTGCAAAGCTAGAAGGGGAAGAAATATCCAAACAGCCTCACACCACCACTTACAACCTAGCTTCTTCCTATAACTCCTTTAATCTGTCCATAATCAACCAAGTTACAGGCAATCTGCCATGCTGCAACTCCTTCTTGGGAGGCTTTAAAACCTATGCTTATTGTGCTCTGCTGGAAAAAAGCCAGGGCTGATACTCAAGAGTGGTTTGGACTGGAAAGAAAACAAAATTTGCTCAAAAGAGAAATTGTTACCTGTAGCAAATGCTTTCCCACAGCTTGGGAAGTCGCACGTATATGGCCGGTCACCTGTGTGAGCACGTTCATGTACCTGGAAAAGAAAGAACAGGTCCCTAAAATGAGGTCCAAGACAAGGAGGAAGGAAAACAGCGTGGAGAAATCTAGCTGGTGGGGAGAATCTGAAGTTCTCTGTTGGATTTCACCTTGGCCAATTAACACATCTGGATCTTCCTGGAAGCCAACCACACAACTTGGCCTTTTGTATAGCAGCATTCTGATCTGGCACTATAACATGGGGATATGTCTGGTGCGCACACTGCGTGACTGCATGATACCTGCTTTACCTTTAGATGGTGGGCGGTGGTATAGAGGCGGCCACAGCCTTTGTACCCACAACGGAAAGCTCTACTGCCAACTTGCTGCCTCTTCTCATTGCTGTGTACTTCCTCCTCCTGCAAATCCTGCCGAGAGACGTACGGAGGCTAATTCAGTGAGCCCCTACAGCAGGCTTCGCAAAGCCCACACAAATCATTTCCCTCCTTGCCATACATATGCACTCCTTCAGTTATCCTCACAAAAACATGTTCCTACAAACACAACTTGTGCATGCATTGTAAACCCCAGTGACAGGGCAGGGGTCTAAGAGCAGCATTTCCCATTCCCACCTCCCAGCTCACTGGGTGTTCTTGGACACATAACTCACCTCTCTGTGCTTCACTTAGCTCATTTGTAAAACTTGCAGCTAATATATTTGCTAACCTTGCAGAGAAGCCACAAAGCTTTTTTTAATTACTAGCTGGCAAAGCGTTCCGCATCAAGAGGAGTTCGGCCTAGTTTCAGGAATGCAACACTGAAAGATTCAGACCTGGGAAGGGACGTCGCTGGAATCCTCATTTTTCATATGGCAGGTGTCTGTCGCTACCTCCTCTTCCTCGTGGGACACCTACAAGCAAAGAGGCAGAGGTAGTGTTCACACCTCCCTGTACAGCATGGAGCAGGTGAGCAACCCAAGCAGGAAGGCATTCACATCAGCAGTGCCACCCCCACTCTTCTCCAGAGAGCTAGGGGAGGCTGGTCCTCCCACAGCAGGAAGGTCTCCATCGGCAAATCTCAATGCTGCCCAGCTCAGCACTGTATCAGCACACTCCTGGTAGCCCCTTCTCACACAACACCATGAAGATGGGAGAAAATGGCAGCACCCAAGATGTTCAGATGGAGCACTGCAGTGACAACACGTTAGGATTTGAAGCTACTTTGGTTTTTGAGGCCTTTGTCAACATGGGAAACAGTGGCTGTAACTTAGCCGCTCCTGACATGTAAAAGGTTAGTCTTGATCTGCTGCCTGAATCATCTGTGGAAGAGAATATCATACCCAGGTGGTATTATGAGAAACCTAGCAAACAGAAAGAAAACACTTTCAAGGAGGGACATATAAAGCAAGAAAAACATCCAAGCTGTATCACAGAAGCTCTCTGCTCTTCCCAAATCGGTGCCTGCAGCAGGTTCAGGGTGGTAGGCCCAGCGCTCTGTAGGAACCAGCTAGGGGGTCCAGCAGGAAACTGCCCCGTTCTAAGTCCTTAACTGTCAGCCACCTGTCAGCGCTGGCACGCTCACGGGAGCCCTGTTCAGTTTCTCTTTTCAAAGCTGACATTGCTGAAAACCAACTACACAGGAGTACTAATGAAGGGAGGACACTTAAACCCCAGGCCAACTGTGGACTCCTACACCAGCCCCTCAGTGCTGCTGGCAAACCATGAAAGAAGTGTTGAGTCCTCACCTTACTGGCATACTGCTTTAATGCATTAATGGTCTCGACATCAAAGGCATCATCTTCCTCCTCTCCAGCCAACTCCTCTAGGCCAGTTTCTGCCTGCACTTCCAGGATGGTGCTGCCAGGTGGCATGATGACAGGACGATGTATGTAGGCAGTGGAGCCATCCTCCAGCTGGACAGCCTCGAAGGTGCTGGGGTCATAACTTTCTGCAAGAGGAAACCAATAAAATCAAACGTAAAAGAGCTGCTGAGTGTGAAGCACACTTTCATCTCCCTGGGCTACCTACAGCCTTGGAAATCTGTGACACTTAGCAGATTCTGCTCCAGCTGCCAAAGGAAGAACAGGGAACACTCTTTACCTTTAGCTGTGTTGTGTATGTAGGCCATACTGCCATCTTCCAACACTACTGGTTGACCATCTTCAAAAGCCACAGACTCTAAAAGAAAAGCAAAAAAATCCACACACCTTATTGGAAGACTCAGTGGGTTTCAAGCAACCTTTTAAGAACAGAAAACGGAGGTGGCATACAAGGAGCTTGGGAGGGCGAAGGGAGGACTGCCCAGAGCAACTGAATTTTTTCTACCTGCCCTTTTACACCTTATGGTGGCTGGGGAGGATTCCTATACGCCACTCTGGTGCCTGCCACATGAAATGAATTCCCATCACCTCTCAGATTAATTAATGTCACCTCATTTCAGAGGTGACATTGGCTGATGGGTCAATGACCAGGGTGGCATTGCTTCCAACAATCTCCACCCTCCCCCCCTAAACACCTATTCCAGAAGTAATATATTATCTCATAGTTCAGAGGAAATTCCTGTCCAACTGCTCCCACATGAAACAAACTTTGTTTGGGCTCTGCAGGTGGCACAAACACAGCACACAGCTTACTGGCCTTGCTTGTAGACTTGTGATGTGTCAGACTGACAACTGTGAGAGAGCCCACAGGTGAAACAACGCTTAAACATTTGCTTAAACCACCAGCAAATTTGCCTTCTTTCAAAACCACGGGCAAGAAAAAAAAAACCCTACACCTGTATGGACTTCTTAAGGCTAGAGCTAATAGAGGAGCCCAATTGTTGGAGCACAGACAATTGCAGTTACATCTACAACATCCTTCTAAAAAGAAAGAGATGAATTTATGGTCCTCACCTTTCTGAACCGTCACCTGATGGATATAAGCTGTGGTCCCATCTTCAAGTTCAATGACTTGCCCTTCAATCAGTTTTTCACCTGAAACAGTTAAAAAACTGCCATCAGCGCTGCCTGCAGAGTCCAGTCTTTCTGGCCCCACGAGCTGTCCCCTTTGCCGCATCTTCTCAAGGAAACCAGTCCCACAGAAGACAGCAAAACTGTTACTTATAAGCTGTTATTTATCAAGCTTTCCCCTGCATAGCCACAGAGGCACTTAACTTCCCAGAAATGCTGGAGCCTCCCTTTCCTAGACAGGAGGATACAAGACAAAGAACCTCAGTCATCACTTGTTTACAAGCTGCCCTTCACAGCCCTGTAAGCCAAGAGGCAGAAAGAATGATGTGTGCTAAGTGTTTTGGATCTAAAGTAGAAAGCAATTACACTTGTGCTGGAGAAAAATTCAACGAGGAGCTTTTAACGGCATCAGCAGGGGCCTGAAGATTTATTTTTTTCTCCTTTGGCGGGGGACCAACTCTTGGAAAAAAATTACAGGACCTAAAGGGATCTAAAGCGTTGCTACCCTTGATGGGTTGTCAAGATTGGACTCTTAAAATAGTGCAACTCTGAGTAAGCCTATAATAATGTTTTAGTTGCCAAATTATTTGATGCATAGAGGACATTGTTCTAGCCCACTTGAACATGAGGAATCCAGGCTGCTTTCACCTGGTGCACAAACCTCGTGGTTTTCAAGATAGTCCAACTCCACGCATGTAATAAACTTGCAGTGAGTTCACACAGAAAAGAAAGCAAGAAAGCAATCCCCAGGACATGAAGCCTCGCAACTCAACCGTCCTGTTCCGCAGGCTGGGAAACAGTGTGTTCCTTTTCTCAGGAACAGTGGGTGGTGAAAGAAGCAGCACCTCACAAATGCCAAAATAAGGGCAGGTGTTGAATTTGGCACTGATATCACTTCAGTTAACCAGTGCTGAGCTCAGCACCCCTTTGAGTGAGAAAAGCACTACTGTGAACCAAATTCTATGCATCTCAGTGAAGTAAAACATCCTGCCTAGCTTCAGGGGAAGTTTTGGTTGAATAGAGTCCTGCAGGCCATAGCATAAACTCCGTTTCCCCAGGAACGCCACAGAGAACAAGACTCACTCTAGTCTGAACAGAACCTTCCTTTTCTACAGCAATAGCTCTCCCATCTCCAAAGCTATATTTCCAGACTAGGGGCATGTTTTATTTCTGCTGCCATCACTCTTCTGTGCAAATCTAACCGATAGTTGCTTAGCTTCCTGCACAAAGTGACCATACAAGATGTGTGACAGTTCACATGACATGAAGGCAATTTTGATAAGTCTGACTTTAATTTCACAGGGTCAATCAAGAGACTTAGACTTCGCAGCCCAAAGGAACCGTTACCTTTGACAGCCTGCTGAATGTAGGCTGTCGTCCCGTCACTAAGGGTCACTGCTTGCAAGCCCAAGCTCTCCATCCTGCCCCGATGACCGGTCCTCAGACATGAATTTCACTTTACTCAGCGTGCTCGCAGAGAGCACCGGGACCCAAAGCAAGAGGTTTGTGGAACAGCGAGTCGTCGTCTTTGTTGCAAGCCTTAAATAAAAAGAACAACTCAAATTTTATTTTCTCCCAGCATATGTATACTCACTTTTGCACATTAAGAAAGGCTTGAATGGCAAACTATTTTGGAGATTATACAGGATTAGACTCGACAAAAGATGCACCCTTCCCATACCAATAGCAGGCAGGGCTAACAACCTATCCCACAGACAAATATACGATAAAGCTTATCAAGCCAGCAAACTGACAGACTCTTTAGAGACAGTGCAAATGCCACATTCAAGCCCTTCCCATCCTCCAAACGATCTGCAGGAAAGGAGTACTTTAAAGTCTGAACCTACAGGCTGAGGGTGTCCTGTACTGCAAGAGACAGGGGCAGGATGATGAGCTTTGTCCCTGGAAGCATCCTCATTCTCTCCTCCCTCTCCTGTCTATTTCCCGGCCTTCTGAGGAACAGAATTTCAGGCTATAAGAAGATGATGTTAAAACATCCACACCCCCACGAGAACATTTTACTAAAGAGGCGCTCTGCTGATAAATTATCTTTAAAAGCAGCTGCAGTGGATTCTTCATGAGTAATCTCTGAGATAGCCTAATATTTTATCATTTTGATTTCCAGGAACAAGTCTGACCGCTCTGTCACTGCAGCACCCAGGGGTGCAGCCAGGCTTTGTGCCATGCTTAGGGCCCTCTAACCCAAGTGCTCCCTACACCCGGCAGACAGCTCCTCTCCAGCTGCAGCAGATTCTGCCTGCTTTTAGGGCTGACAGCTCCTGAGAGGCATTGCAGCTCATTTCCCGGCAAAGGCTCCGTCTCGGCAGGGTCACAGGGGCATCGCTGGGGAATCGAGGCCCCTTTCAGCTGCTATGGCTGCCACGCAAAGCGATGTCAGGCCGCGACCCCCTGGAAGGGACGGGGCAGGCGCTGC